TGATGTAATTTTAACTACTACAAGAAAACATATTCATACCATCAGTCCCTTCCTCTATTTCCTACCTCATCAGTGCCACAAATAATGGTAACAATGGAAGCCATCACCAAGACCCTTTGCCCCTTAATTTTAGCATGGACCATTTGTTTGCTCTTTTCCTACAAAGAGGCTACATGTACTAATGGACTGACAGCCTCTAAAACACAAGAAAACACTAGGAAAACTTCCTTACCTGAGTGCAGACTATTTATTCCTCTACTCAAGCATTGTCCACCCTATCGCCCATATGCCTTTGAAGGCCTTAGGCTAAGAATGGTATTTCACATAACATGCTCCTTCATTTTACTCAATAGATATTAAAGAGATTGAAAGTGAGCTCTATTGCTCAGAAAGCAAGCATGCTGTCACTGCCATACAAGACTCAAGAGACTTGTATGACAGTAGAGGCTGAAGGATTATGAGCTAGAGAATGATGTAGTTTCCAGTACCAAATGTAAACTTCCTAGGTAAGCTGTGTTGGCTTTTAAAGAGAGGAGATTTCCTCCACACAAAGGTTTTTTCATCCTAGCAATTTGGTGACCTGATGACATAAAGAAATGTTCAGTTCATATATTTTGACTTGAACTATCCCGCCAGCTTTTGGGCTTTAAGTTTCTAATTTTATTAATTAATTTTTATCGGGGAGTGGGGTGCAGGGTTGGAATGGAAAATATTCATTATATTATTAATGTGAATACTTGATGTTTCCTGAGCATCTTAGATCTTCCAATGTGGGGAGAAGGCAGATATTAAGAAAAAGATGGAAGAAATAGAGGGAAAACATGATTAGGTCACAAATGGGAGATATTATTCACTGGCTCCCTGTATAATGCCATTGAGCCTTGATCAACTTTGCAATAATAGTCTTCTTTCTATTGACATAATGCCAACGTTTGTGCAGGTTTGTGCAAAGTTTGAATGAAAGGAGATAGTGCAACATCAAAGCTCACCAGTGCTGCTTCTGTACTATTTCAACCAATTGGAAAAGTGCAGACACTCTTAAGAAAAACACTGATTCTCACTGTATTTTAGTAAGCAATAGCATGCATTTGTGCTTCCATAAGATGACAGAATGTATTACTAGAATACTGTATCACTTTAAATAAATTTTGGGTTTAAAAAGGAAAGATAGAAATCATTGTATTTTTCCAAGGTCAGTTAATGCTGGAGTCAAGAGACGAAAATGCTGAATGAGGGTTCCCTCTAATGGTTGAAAGCTTGCTTGTGTATTGCCATCTGAATCTGTAGCAGTAAGGAATGATCAAGCTGAGTTCTTGTGGAGAACTGAACCTCTTTCCTATTGTTAATTTGGACATGAAACAGGTATCTGATTTTTGTCTCGTCTTTCCTTAGCTTAACCCCTGTGTAATTTCAGCAACACCAATTGGTACAAACTGTGTGGACTGCACTAGTCTTGAATGTTTTGCACAAGGCTACCATTTTCTCGGTGGGGCAACAAATTATCCGCAAGCACAGAAATGGAACTACAGTAGAATTTATTGTTCAGTTGCTTTTATGCAATATTTCCCCAAACTAAATCTACTGAGTAAAGAACATATCAGGAGGAAAGCAATTGATTTAAAACTCATTTTTTTATTCTGCTCTCCTTCTTTCAAAGAATTCAAAATCATATATATTATTCTCTCCCATCCACATGCATACACCTAATACTTCCAGCAACTTTAACAAAATGGGTTGAACTTAAAAATAGTGAGTTTCTGGCTTAAGATGATTGCCTATCCTTGTGAACTTTAAGGAGATTTGAAGCCAGATTGTCCTGATCGTGTCATCCTCTTAATCACAGTAGTGGGAGTCAAAAGTGGCGGAAATCTCATACTTTTGAAAAAAGACATATTTGGGAATAAAACAATCACTAATACCTTCTCATTCATAAGAACAAAATATATTAAATTCCCAATGACGAAGAGAATTTGTATATGCTAAACAAAGAATTCCCTTTTCTTTCTCCTGGATATAGTATTTGTTCTTTGATTCTGTTGTTAACCTTCAGTGCAACACTGTCAGGGATCTATCTGCAGTCCATGGCCTATTAAATTCCCACCCTGAAATAGAGGGACCAAACACAAGAACATGGAGAGAAATTGCCATTTTTACCTATTTATTTATTTATTTATTTGCTAGAACTTCTGAGAAAAAAATTAAACTGGGTTAATCTGTCAGAGAAAAGATCTTGTAAGCAATCACCATTTTGTTGTCAGCTATTTGGTGGAAAACATCCCTTGGTCAGTGTCACTTCTGTTGACCACCCCCAAGGATCATCTTTGTACTAGCATCATAGATTCTCAGGGTCATTCCAAATCTTTGACTGTGCACCTCAGCCAGACTTAAGAGGAAGGCAATCTTGAGAGCACTCCCTTCCAAACCTCAGTTTTTAAAAAGATTGAAACACCCTCATTCTAGCACCATGGGGAGCCCACAATTCACAGATCCCTGAGCCACAGAACCTAGAGAGAGACTGTTAAGGGAATCAACCCTTCACCCACAAAGGTAGACACCATGGTGCCTATCAGGATTCTGAAATCTTTTATCTGCCATGACAACCTATTTAAACCAATTACTACACCCAGCTAAATCAGCTCTTCACCCACAAAGGTGGATGTTATGGTGCCTGTTTGGATTCTAAAACCTTTTATCTGCCATGACAACCTATTTAAATGTCCCACCATAAGCCAATTAATACACTCTCAATGTAAGAGGAAGGCTCTTACAGTATGGGGCAGGCAAAAAAAAAAACCCAAATAATATTAAGGGGAAAAAATTCCTACCTGACCCTGATGTGTGAGAGGGTGGGTCATAAACCAATGAAGGATAAAAAACAGAGGAGTGGATCAGTTTTAAATAGGCTCGGATCAGGCTCCATCATGTGATTGTGACCGTGAAGCCAACTGGCTCCCATCACTCTTGGCCTCCTTTGAGGGGGAATTCAGTTTCCTCACACACATCCCTCATGGGCTTGCCCTTTTGGCAATGGATGGGGTTTCTCATGAAGAAGAAAGAGGGTAAGAAGAAGAGAATAAGAAGTGCCCCTCCCCCTCAGTGTGAGGATCCAGAGGTTCAAGGGAAATGGGGCAATTGACGACTACAACAACTCTCCTAAGCCATTGCTGTGGGCATTTTGCAACAAAAAATCTATTGTAACATCAACAACAGGAGTTAAGCTTTTTTTCCAAGCCATAAAAACTGAGCTTTCCAGGTGCACAGACATAAAGGGAAATTCCTAGCCATAGTTGCAAATAGTATGAATTGTTTGAATCTACAGAAAGTCTGTTGAGCTTTTTTAAAATGCTCCAATATATCAGGAATTTAGAATAGTTGTAAATATGGAAATGCCATATGTAGAGCTGATATAAAGTGGGTAGTGGTGAGAAAAGAAAAGTTAATGACTTTCCTGACAACTCAAGTTGTACTCATAGCACTCTATGTAGAAGTGTCTAAAATTGCTTTTCTGTGGAACTATGCAAACATTTCTTGGTATGGCATTTAAAACTGAATAAGATTTTTTTTGCTAGGGACATATTTAACAATTCTTATGTTTTGACCCAATTAGATGTGATGCCAGAGATATGGATGACTGGTTTCGCAATGGTCCGTCTCTATTTAAAATCAGTTTTGGAAGTGAAAGTAATGTGGATTGGACTTGAAACATCGGGGAAAGGAGTAATTAAGCCACCTGTTCCCATGTACATCTGCACACGAACAGATACTTTTCCTTCCAGATTAGAAAAAATCAAACATACTGTAACCCCCTACTTGGTAGATGTTGTTATCTTATACTATGGAATGGATAATTTTTGGAAATTGAGACTAACTACTGAAAAAACTAGTTTAAAACAGAGGGAAATGGATTTTCATTCACTCAACAATTAACAACAATGCTACAACAGGTATTTGTCTGTGTGGCCTAATTTCTCACATTTTCACAACCTTCCTGTGATGTATATTTGCCAGTTCCTTGCAAGGAGAGTAGTCCTTTTCAGCTCAGTTACTTGCCATTGTTTGAATCTAGAAGAAGTTCAGGAGATGGGAAGCTCTATCATATGTTTCATTGGACCTATTTAATTGCCTATCATGCCAAAGGGCAACTATCAAAATGGATATGGAAAAGAAAGGCATGATTGACCTTCTCACCTTTGAATTTCTTCCTGATTCAAACCCACCTTGGCAAATCATACACTCTCAATGTAAGAGGAAGACAATAGTAAAGCTCATCTGAAGAAATTTTGTCAATAAACCATATGTTTACATAAGTCAGAGTTGACTTGGAGGTACATAGCAACAATAAATGTGAAAGGGGCATATGAAAGCATCCAATTAAGAGCTACATCCAGTGGGGATAGTGAAAATCAGATAGGGCAAATTAGCTTCCTTGTTGACCTATGTCTAATGCACTTCAGGTGGGCAAAAGTGAAGAAGAACCTCGGGTTTTCCATTAGGTCCCCACTAAATATATTTACAGACAATGACCTTACATTTGGTATTGATTTCCCCTAAAATCACTGTCCCTTGAAGACATCACACAGTGTCAAGTTATTTGAGTATCTCCCACAGAAAAGTCTGGTTTTTTGTCACGACAATTCCAGAAAACTGTTTGTCTTCAGTGGGTTGCTGTAAGTTTTTCGAGCTGTATGGCCATGTTCCAGAAGCCATACAGTCTGAAAAACTTACAACAATCCAGTGATTCTGGCTATGAGAGCCTTCAACAATGTTTGTCTTCATTTATTAACTTTGTAATGTCCTCAAATAATTTCACTTTCAACTAATATTTCATATCACCCATTCTCTTCTGTTCGGAGAAGCTATATTAAAGATAGTGTCTTCATTAAATGCTGAGTTTTATTTCCTGAAGGAATTTTGTTCTCATTTAGAAGCTAAATGATGCAGTTGTGAAAGCAGCTATGAGACTGATGAAATGTTGTGTATCTGTTTTGTTTTTTAACTAGACTTGCGTGACGTGGGATGGAGATAAACTTCTTTGTGTACAGAGAGGAGAAAAGGAAGGCCGTGGCTGGACCCAGTGGATTGAAGGTGATGAAATGCACTTGGTAAGGACATTCGTTGTTTGTGCTTCATACATAATTATCTACTTTTTTGTCCCACCTCTTCCTTTATTCGTTTATACAGCTAAATACAATAAGCTATAGCTTGCTGTCACATTACATTGGCCAACTAACCATAGGCTTTTTGTTTGACTTCCTTCTGAAACAATTGTCCTTTTCAACACTACTACTTTTACATGTATTCTTCAAAAACAGCCATGTTTAATTAAGATAGCTTTAATTAACTTTCCACTCTTCCCAAATTGATTTGTTTAGTTTGCGCAAGAAAAAGCGAGTAACACAACTGGTTCTCACTGAGATATAAACTTATGTGAATGAGGACAGTTTTTGCATCCAAATCACATCATGAGCTTCCTAAACTTGACCTTTTTTGTCTGTTTAAGATTGCAAGTCCCATTATTGGCAGCCAATATGGCCATGGCTATACCATCTGGCATGATGAGAGTTTCTGTGTGAAATGGGAGAGGGAAATCAGTTGGGGAAAGTAGTCATAAGTCCCATGTGTGTGTTGCAGTTGTGAAGAATGGTGATATTTTTCTCCTCTGCCTTTTTCATTAAGGCTAAGATAAATTGCAGCTTGGGAAAGGAAAGTGAACAATAGTTTTGAAAGTATCATTTTCTTTCTAACTATTTTTTTTTAGGTTCTTGTGGGTTTTTTTGGGCTATAGAGCCATGTTCTAGAGGCATTTCTCCTGACGTTTCACCTGCATCTATGGCAAGCATCCTCAGAGGTTGAGAAGGTCTGTTGGAAGTAGGAAAAATGGGTTTATATATCTGTGGAATGGCTGGGGTGGGGCAAGGAGCTCTTCCCTGCTGCAGTTAGGTGTGAATGTTTAGCTGATCACCTTCATTAGCATTTGAAGGCCTGCCTGAGTCTGGGAAAATCTGTTGCTGGGAGGTGTTAATCTTGGAAAGTAAAAAATTTCTGTGGACCACACCAACAACCACCATGTCAGACTACACAGAGAAGCCATTGAAATCCACAAGCATGTGGACAATTTCAACAGAAAGGAAGAGACCATGAAAATGAACAAAATCTGGCTACCAGTATTAAAAAACTCTAAAATTATAACAGCTAAACAACAGAGAGGAAAAAACCAGGCACAGATTAACACCTCCCAGCAACAGATTTTCCCAGGCTCAGGCAGGCCTTCAAATGCTAATGAAGGTGATCAGCTAAACATTCACACCTAACTGCAGCAGGGAAGAGCTCCTTGCCCCACCCCAGCCATTCCACAGATATATAAACCCATTTTCCTACTTCCAACAGACCTTCTCAACCTCTGAGGATGCTTGCCATAGATGCAGGCGAAACGTCAGGAGAAATGCCTCTAGAACATGGCTCTATAGCCCGAAAAAACCCACAAGAACCTAGTGATTCCAGCCATGAAAGCCTTCGACAATATATTTTTTTTTTACTTTCCAAGATACTGATGCCTAATAAAGTTTATCACTCCTTCATTTTAAAGTAGTGGTTTATTGTACTCTTGAAAGCCCTTTTCCCACAGGAGCTTACAAAGCTATATCTGAAACCTTATTGCCTGCTAAATGCACCTCACAGTTTTGTTTAGGGTGCTTATTTGGAAAGCATCCAAATTTGGTAGACGGGCACTGGGAGCTGTGAGAAGAATTAAATTTTGGAGAATTAAATTTTCATCATCTGAAAAATATTACAACTGTGTTTATATCAATAGTCAAGTTCAAGGAACGTTTAAAAATCTTACTGATTTCAGGGAATCTGTTTCAAGTAAAGGCATTAGATGCTGTCTAATCTTGGAAGCTAAGCAGGGTGAACTCGGGTTAGTACTCAGATGAGACCATAAATGAGACCCATGAATATCAGGTGCTGTGAGCTGTATTTCAGAAGAAAAATTGGCAAAACCACCTCTGAGTATTCCTTGTCCAAGAAAAAATTATGAAATTCATGGAATAGCCACAAGTCAACAGGTGACGTGAAAACGCACACACACAATCCTAGCTCCACAGGCTGGAGGGAATTGAAATGGGAAGGATAGGAGTCTCATTGGTAGATGGGGATATCTGGCCATTAACTTTATTTTTCATTCATTTATCATTAATGGAATAAATGTCTTTACTGGCACTATTTCTCCTAGCCGATGGCCTTGAGATTATAAGTCTATTAGATCCAATATTCACCCTGATCTCAATTCCCCATTTTTGCTTGAGGATCAAGCCTTTACCCACAGCATCCCCAGTCAGATATTCTCTCCCTACACTCATGGACTGCCTGAGACACAAGTGTATGGCAGCACAATGAATACTTTGGTGATGCTATAATGGCTCTCCCTTACTATTCCATTTAAAATTGGTTTATTCTATCACATTTATAGAACCAAACTAGGTAATAATTATGATCAAGGTTGGTTACATTGTCAATGACAACTCCTCTTTTATACTAGCTAGCAAAGTGAAGACACAACTTTCAATTCTATCTGTTCCAACCCAGGGACTGCTGTGGTTTTTTAAAAGTTTAAGAGGCGTTGGATAAACCCATACATTAAAGTTATGGTCTAGTTTGGCCCTTAAAGTACAATGAAACATATGATAGCAATGATATTAATCTTGTTGCATACAGTTTTACTTATTAAGACAAACATGATAGCATTCTCTTTTTGCAGATTAGTATGGAGGTCACACATTTTTCTGTTTGTCTGTTTTCAGGGCTTCCTATAAGTTAATAGAACTATAATTACTGTTATGCAGGGGTAAGGAACGAATGTGTTTTGCATGTGGAATTATTGTAGATGGATTCTTAAATTTAAAAAAAGAAAGCACAGTGGTTGTGCTGCATTCCTTTATGGAGATCTCCATATTATTTATGGTAGATACATTTTCTATAGCTGGATCTGATTCTAATTCGTTATAAGAGGGCCACATACAGTCCTTTCCTTTTGTGTCCCCCATGACCCCACCCAAATATTTATTTCTATAAAAAGTCATACATCAATCTCTTGGAAGCTGCATGTAAGTACAATTAGATGCTAAACACAGTATGTTTTATTTACTTCACTTGTATACCGCTCTTCTCCGCCCTCAGGCGACTCAGAGCTCCTGCATACTTTTTGATATGGGAAAGTTCAGAGTTGAAAGCAGAAATGAATTTCCATTACTTTCAGATTCTGCAGGTGGTGCAGCCTGACCTGTATCCTAGTAGATCAAAATTGGCTTCTAGGCCATCCAAGTTCTGAACTAAGATATGGAGAGATGCCTATATCTAATGTCTCAGGTTCATTATCAATAAATAATGCAATATTTTTAAATGTTCAGTAAACTCATTATTATTAGATTAGTAGTGCAATAGAAAATAGTTAGCTGCAACTGCTTTGGCAATCTGTTGTGTTTTATTTTTAGTGGGAAAAAAGTATTCAGAATATGTTTTGTTATTATTGAGAAAAAAAATTGTGTCAGTTGCAACTTGAGAAACTGAAAGTGACTTCTTGTGTGATATAATTGGCTGTCTGCAAGGACATTGCTCAGGGGACGCCTGGATGTTTTACCATCCTGTGGGAGGCTTCTCTCATGTCCTTGCATGGGAAGCTTGAGCTGACAGTTGGGAGCTCACCCCACTCCTCAGATTTGAACTGCCATCCTTTTGGTCAGCAGTTGTGCCAGCGCAGTTTAACCATTGCACCACCGGGGGCTCCATGTTGAGAAATTGACAGAAAAAAATGATTTTTAAATCTGTGTGATTTTAACAAATGTTTATTAATGTAACTGTTTTTAATGAATTTGTTTTAAATATATTTAAGACTGTGGAGGGCACTGAATAGTGCTTGTTGTGAAGCCACCCTGAGTCCCTCCTCGGGGTGAGAAGGATAGGGTACAAATGTACAAAATAAATAAATAAGAATCTTGGACTGCTTAAATTTTTCATAATTTAAGGCTTATTCTGCATAGAATTTGTACATGGTTGATTTGCACATAGTTCAGTATTTTCGATGCAACAAATAGCATTTTCTGTGTAAAAAAATATTTCAACAGATAAATAATTATTCATGTACAGATAATCTTTATTAATCCACCATGTGTAAATTTTATGCAGAATAAATGCCCAATTACATTTTCTTTGTAGAAAATATTGCTTTTGTACAGAAATTAACACTTCTGCATTGAAATATTATTTTCCATGCAGAAGAGGCTGGTTCCTGCATATACAATCAAATGGGATTTTGAAGCAGAATATGTCACGAACTCCAAAAATTCTCTGAAGATTGTGTGGTTATCAAAGGCATTCTTACATTGGGAATAAAATTTCTGAAATTACATTAAGAAGAAACTTAGTTAAGAATCACATTCCTAAAATAAGATTGGCATCCATGCAAATAAGGCCATCAGACCTGATGTGCTGAAGCAAAGAACACCTTCTTTCTACTGGTATAAATATTTAACAGTTAAGAAAAGAATATGTATTAGAGAAAATAGTATTTTATTTGCAAAAGCAGCCTAAAACAACAGAGCACTGATGAGGTTACTTTCCATGTCTTAATTCTCTTATAGAATACTTCTAAGAAAATTAGCTGCTGGCTAAGCACCAGATGTCCCATCATGCACATCAGGTGTGCATGTTAAAAGATAATACCTAAATGTCTCCCTTAGGTTAATGCCCTCTCAAGTGTATACTTAGTACAATTTGCATTCTTTTCTACTTCTCAAATCTTCATTTCAATTACTACTTTTCCAGAAATAAGTGACTTATAATATATTTTAATATCTGATGTTTCTGATATATATATATATATATATATATATGAGAAATGTGTGCTGTATAGGGAGTCTAGTTGCCATAAAATTATTATATGATGTTTCAGTAATATTTTTATGGTTCTGATGAGTATCAGACAATGTTCCAAATGTAAATTAATTAACCCGTTTACAACTTCTCTTAAGTGATCTGCCATAAGCTTCAAAAGTTTATTCACAAGGATTTATAGGCAGTTCATCTCTTTCCACATGAAGGTTTGTCGTTTATTAACACATGTCTTTCTTTATGATGGCTCTCTTACCATTGTGGGTCTTATATTTCCTACCTGGTCATTTTTTCAGGAATTGGATTGTGGCCCTTTTTCCTTTAGCAGATGGTCTCTTCTGTGTTTTTTTGCCCCATCGAAAATTACACAGCCTTGCAACAGTTACTTCTTAACCAGCATCATCGACACAAAAATGAATAAAATGTGTCCCAGTATTTCTTCATTTGTTGAACCAATTCCATTGATTCCATCTTTCTTTTTGGTATCTTTTGAAATCTAAAGTGCTTCTTTTTGTCCTTGTTCCACTTCCATTCAAATCACTAATGCCCTATAGGTCACTCACCCTAAGAATGGATTTTCCTCAACTAGATTCATATTTTCTGAAAAGTGACTTCAAAAGCTCCCCTTTAGACTGAGCAAATGATGTTCAGAGCATCCAGGTCATTTATTTCTTAAAAATATTGTTACCTTTGTCTATAAGTTTCTTCTTTAGAAATCCAAGTTTGATCTTTTCTGTTAAATCTTTTCTTTTATGGTGTCAGTATCATCTCAGCTATTGACTACTGAAGCTGAAGGTCTGTGGGGAGTCCTTAGAACATCTCCACAATGTGATAGCTGTGTGCCTATTCAAGTACTGTTTTTCTCCTGAGATTTAAAATGTGTATGTTCAATGTTTGAGGAGAATGAATTGTATCTTCAAGGTTATAGGTTAGGTTTTATCTGGCCAATGAAACATGATGCCCACAAGGTTATAAGAATGTGGTTGCTTTGGCCTGGCTTCAGCAAATTATGTTAATGGAAATTCTAAATTAATGCACCCTAACCGTAAGTTGAATATGGATATGTAAGTGAGAAAGGGACATAATTTGCACTATAGTTTTTCTATGCATCCAGTAAAGAAGTTTGTCCTGATCTTAGAAAAACGGGGTTTTCATAATCAAATGTATATACTTCCTGGGCTTCATAGTACTTGCTCTATAATGTTGTTGTTTATAGAAAACAATTATCAGATCTGACGTTTTCTATCCACTATGGTTGGTGCACATATACCTTAAGACCATGGGGAACAGATACTTAATCATGTTTTCTCCTGGTTTCTATAGTTCAGAATGATGAAGAGCAACATTTTTTCATTCTGCCTCAGTTTTGTCATAATCCATCAGTTAAAAAGAAGAGGCTCAGCTTTCCAGCCAAGTTCCATTTCATATGACAAATTATACAACCCATGGTTATTGCTATTACCTTCAGTTCCTTGTGTCTTATGAAGCTGTTATCTGAGGGAAGAAGTTGTCCTTATTACAGACCTCATCACATCAAATACTGAGTTCACCATAAATTGTGGAGAATCCGGCGGGACCCAACAAGGAGCCTAGGGGCCCGGCATAGAATGTTGTCTCATGCTCCTCATTGACTGCCTTGCCATGTATCCCATCCCATGGGGGGATGCGTATGCCGCTGGGCTTCCCTATTGTTCCTTATGCAACACAGGAAGCCCCCCAGTTGCTGGCACAGCAGCAAATGCTGATTTTGCCCTGCTACAAGCATGGAGCTTTGCCGGAATCAATGTCATGTGATGGGAGCCGGCAAGCTCTGTGCCTGAAGAGGAGTGAAAGCACCATACGACAGGCAATTTCACCCATCGGATAAGACCCTAAAAGAGGGCCTGGGAAAATGCTTGTAATTTTTACTTTCATACATTCCTTGTTTCCATTACTCCAAAGACTAATAATAGAATGTAAGGTATCTTACTTTTAGTATTATTCACACATTTCCATGGCTTGTGATTATTTCACTGAAGAAAAATGTGCAGAGAACTGTGTGTATTAGGCTTGTTTGATCAAAATAAATGGGTCAAACTCATTTCGGATGTAGGGTGCACTGGTAGTTCGATTCTAAATTCAATTCTGATTTTCACAGAAAAAAATGTTCAAAACTTTTCAAAACTTCCAAGACTTCTGAATCCTTCCTTAATGATTTGAAAGTGTTATTTCCTGTTTCATTGGGTGGTCTTTACTTTGGAAGTAGTTGTTTTACCCCAGAAAGGAGGGAGGGAAGCAAACAGATTTTAATGATTAAAAGGTGAGTGACAGGACACAGGAAAACATCCAATATTATCAGTGTCAAGATCAGAAGAACAGAATAAATATAATTTCTTCAATAATAAGAAAGGCATTTCCTTACGAATGTCTTCCAAGGAACTAAATCGGCTTTTCAAACACTAAACATGGTAAAAAAATTAGTTTATCCAATAGCAGCTGTGCATGGTAGGTAGTTTGAAAGACAGTGATTGTTTTTTATGGTTGCACAGGGGCACATTCTTTGACTATTCAGCTATTTGAGTTTAAGTTGAATCATAGTTCTGTAATTGTGATGTGTGAATTAGTCTTGGGTCTGCTAATTGATTTGGAAGATCACATCAATGTTTGTTTTTTTTAACAGAGAAGCAAAGTAATTGAAGAAGTGGTATCTAAAACCTGAACTTTTTCCCCCCAGGAAATAAGAGTTTGTGGTGTGAAGTGTAAGCAAGTATTTAAGAAGGTACAGTAAAGAGACTGACCCCAGAGACCAAGAAGGTGGACACTGTGGATGGACCTACTGCCAAATCTTCAGAAGCTGCTTGATCACAAATGTTGTATTCTTCCTTAACAGTTAGAAAAGATAACATGGCCAACATCTACACGTGTTACTTGAACTCTGTAGCAGTTTTTTTTTTTTGTTGAACATACGGACTTTTAAAAGGAGAGAATTGAATCTTAACAACATAATTATGGTATGAACATTCAGATTAAAGCTGATGAAATCTGAATTGTGTGTGATGGTAGTTTTGGGGATCAGGGGACACACATACTTGACCACATATCAAACATGCCTTAAATATAATTATAACATATAAGGCATGCTTGATATGTGGCTTGAATATTAAATTAAAGGATATAACAGGAATGGTACAGTCCATATAATAGCAGCTATTATCCAAACTCAATGAATTCTAACACAGATTTCAACAAATGATTTCTCTAGAACTCTTAGATATACCTTACTAAAAGGAAAGTGCATTAGGTAGATAGCAGTCCCATGATTACCATACTATCCTGCGGACTCATAATTCTGTGGTTCTTCAATACCATCTCTAACGGCCTGTCCAAACATTACCTTTATCCCAGGAGCTCCCGCAGCGAACAGAAGAGTTGCCAGATGCCATTCCCTGTAAATACAGAAGCAATCGCTACAAATGACAACATGAGATTTTCAGGTGCGGAAATATCCCAGATCTGAGCTGAAAATCAGCATTTTTGAATGTCTGTATGCCCCTGCAATCAGAAATAATGGGGTTTTTTATCTGAGTTTGTTCCCAGATTTTAGATGTCTGTTCCTGATTAGTTGGTTCCTAAAAATAAGGTAACAGTTTAGTAGAAGGTGACAAATTTCTTTGTGTGCCGGAAACTTCATGAAACATGTGAAGGGCACATTTTCGTTGGCTAGAACAAAGTTGTGCCCCCCTAGTCAATGTTGTACATCTTTTCACAATAAGAGCAATCAGGAACAGACATGTATAAGCCAGGAGCAACACTCTGTAGTCTTCACACATGGTCAACAGCTTATATAACCCAGGAACAGAACTTATACAATGATTTGCATCTCCACATGTTCGCATCTTAAGCTTTTTTAAAAAAGTGATGGACATCCCATGATGGCCATCTTGGGGGCTGCAAAATCCCGTAAGAAAGCAGTGAGTGTGGATGATGGAGGCAGAAATCCCGGGACCACCAGTTTGTATGTGAACATCTTCTCAGGTCCTGGGTTTCATTGCCCCTGACTAAAGCGTGCTGGTCTGGAATCACCTGAAGACTAGATTCCTCCATATATAACAAAAATGTACCAAGGAGCCAGATTCTCATACATACCAGTACTTGCTAATATTAAGCCCAGAAGTGCTTAATATATCAGGAGAAAGGCAATATAAGAATTAAATAAATAAAGAAATGATATTGTTCCATGTCCCCTCTACGAGAAAGAGGAAGAGCCAAACTGGAAGTGACTGGACGTCCAATTCTAGGGAACATGCTTGAGATACCTGTCTCTCTCATATACATACCCTGCAAACATTGTCATCTGGGGACTTCCATGCATGCTGACATTTATTATGAGGATAAATTAGGGCTGCCCTTTCCAAAATCAGATCAGTTGGAGGATATGACTTTCTGCAGCACTGGTTTAGGATGAACAGATTCCAGTAAATTAGGCTTCACAGAGTTTATAGAAGTGGGAATTCTGGCAGGCATACTACAGGACTCAGGGACTCCTTTGCATCTAATCAGCAGCAGCAGCTGCTTGCTGGCCTTGAGATGCTTAAATTTCACACAGCACATCCGATTAAAATCACGACCTTTTAGAGAATTATTTGTCTTCTGTAACGTTGGCTTTGGGGTAAATTGCTCCTCATTTCTTCCAGTCTTATGCCTCCTATGTACACTCTTGTGTAAAAAGGTATAAGTAGTTCAATTAGCAACTAGTGAACTAAATCGAATTGTTGGGTTCTTAATATTACTGTAATCAGGCACAGTCTCTTTCCACAGGGACATTGGACCCAAGGGTAAGATTATCGTTGTAGTTAATACTGGCAGGTGATTGATCAAAGATGTAAGGATTGGTTCAACTGAGAAAATAACATTTTAAAAAGACTTTGTTGACTTTATAGATTTCAGTGCACAATCTCTTAAACTGATATAAATATACATATACAATAGACTCTCAGGCCCCTTCCATGCAGTTAAATAAAACCCCACATTATCTGCTTTGAACTGGAATATATGGCAGTGTGGACTCAGATAACCCAGTTCAAAGCAGATATTGTGAGATTTTCTTGATATTCAGTTGATATTCAGTTATATGACTGTGTGGAAAGGCCTTTAGTTAACCGGAACTCAAACAACCAGCAAAAAAGTTGAAGAAATAATACTGCATTCATAAAGCTGTTTTAATAATACAGTAAAACTGTGTTACATTAGTTTGTCTTTATTTGTCTTTATTTGCTTTTAATTAGTGTATTTCAATATTAATACTGTCAATACAGAGTTTCTAGTATGATATGGAATATAATATTGCTTAGGTCTATTTTTAATAGTAACTCTCAAGCAACCAGAAGCTACTTTTATCTGGCATTCACCAATCCCCATGCGCCATGTTATCTGAGAGTCTACTGTATTCTAAATATAAATGAAGGAATACATATAATGTTTTTAACAACCACCAAAGCCATAATCTAAACCCATTTAGATTTTTTTTGGTCGTGTCAGGAGCGACCTGAGAAACTGCAAGTTGCTTCTGGTGTGAGAGAATTGGCCGTCTGCAAGGACGTTGCCCAGGGGACACCTGGATGATTTTTTGATGTTTTATCATCCTTGTGGGAGGCTTCTCTCATGTCCCCGCATAAGGAGCTGGAGCTGATAGAGGGAGCTCATCCGCTTCTCCCCGGATTCGAACCTGTGACCTGTCGGTCTTCAGTCCTGCCAGCACAGGGGTTTAACCCACTGCGCCATTGGGGGCTCCAACCCATTCAGATTATCAATATGCTTGTAAGTGTGTTGTGAGAAAGAAAGACTGAGTCTCTTGTAGGATAACCTGAGTAAGAGTATCTTAAATGGAGAATGTTTGCCACACATTATGTCACCAATTGCAGCACAATCCTAAGCATTTTATTTGGAAATAAACCTTTTTCTGTTTAGAAAGACTCAATTGTGAGTGGGATTAGGACATCAGCCTTGAAATGAAACAGAACAGAACAGAACAATACAGAAATAATTAAATATCCTCAAAGTCTTGTTTAGCCTATAAAAAAAAGAAAGATCGCGATTTAATCCATTTCTAAATACATATATGTCTAAATACAAAAAAATGTGATACAGAGATGCAGACATAGAAAAATTATGGTAGAACTAAACCTAAATCTACTATGTAAACTAATTAAGAATTGGGTTGCTGTGAGACCCCTCAACCTGTGAAGATACCTGTCATAGATGTGGGCAAAATGTCAGGAGAGAATACTTCTAGAACATGGGCATACAGCCCGGAAAACTCGCAGCAACCCAGTGATTCCAGTCATGAAAGCCTTAAACAACACATTAATTAAGGATTTCTTATCATTTGATCAAATCTAACTCATTGCTAATTAGACCCTTGCAACTCTAATACTCATTAAATATTACTCATGCTTGGGAAACGAAGAGATTAATAGATTAATATCGTCATCAGCAATGCAAAGACTTCTGAACTCATGGACATCTTATTAGTACCTGTGTCTGTATAGAATTTGTTTTTGGTTGTTGCAGCAGTTGGCATTATATCTACTTCAGTAACCAAAGCTCTCCATCCAGCATTTACTACTTGGTTCCTATATCCCTCTTGACCATTTACTGGCTGGTGGAATAGCTAGTGGAGTAGCCTCAGTGGTTCTGCTCAATGAGTTGTTCCAATTGGAACTACCAACTGGATTAAGTCCTGTGGCTGAGGTCCTATAATATACGATATAGCATTCTGCAGGTGAAACTACACTATGTCTCTCTTTTTGATTCTCCCTCACTTGATTCACCATTTAGCCACTCAAGGGCAGTGTAGATCCAGCCAAAGACTGTATTCAGCGTGAGTTGCAGGAGATACTACATAGAGGAGCCAGCAGGGTGATTGAGTCATCCCAATATCCATCAGGAAAACAACTGAGGACTGCAGATGCACATTGGTAGAACCCAATTCACATCAAGATGCTGGTTAAGTAGTGAATGTTGATTGGGAGAGTACAATATGCACTGAAACACTCTTGCTAATACCCTATATATATCTTTGCTGCATATTTAAGGCTTCACACAGTCACATGCCAGCATTTAGGGCTCGTGGAGAAGGGGATTGGAGAAACATCTGGCTATATCTCTATAATCAGATGTGGAATAATTATAGAATCCGTCAGTGTCAGTTGCAGAAATAGATCCAGTCATCAGACTGGACTGGCGTAGACCAACTGAAGCAATGGAATTTACATAAGTGTTAACTTACCATTCAACAATTATGTAGTTCCATGGGATGAAGTACTCCGGCCACATAATGAGAAGATGAGAAGGCTTGGAGAAGACAATGATGCTGGGGGAAAGGAAGGAAAAAGGAAGAGAGGCCAACCAAAGGCAAGATGGGCGGATGGTATCCTTGAAGTGACTGGCTTGACCTTGAAGGAGCTGAAGGTGGCCACGGCCAACAGGGAGCTCTTGTGGGCTGGCCCATGAGGTCACAAAAAGTCGGAAGCGACTGAATGAATAAACAACAACAACATGAGACTTCTCTGCTTGCAATTAGTAATTGTATTTAGGCAATAAAGTTGAAATAACATGAAACGTAAGTCATATCAAATCAACAGCATCACCGCCTTTCATTTCTCCCATCACTTCTACCACTTCTTTTGGTGAAATTGAATGTGGCATAAAATATGCTAAGAGGAAGATTTTATGCATATCTGCTCAATTAGTTCAATAACAATTATTTCTAGGTGTACATCGGATTTCAAAGGAAGAGGAAAGCATCTGTTTAAAATGGAACAAATGTACCAAAACACAACATAAACTTAAAATGACAAATAAATGATGTTGGCTATGTGCAGTCCACCGTTTGCTGTTTTGTTCAAACCGACTGGGTGATATAAGTGCTGCAAATCATGACAGAGAGCTTAAACTTTCAGCTGCTCAGAGGAAAGTGTTCTTATTATGCTTTTTTTGAAGATGTACAAAATCAATGGGCAAGAAAAGAGTAATTGCACACTGAATG